TATTATGGTATAGCATATCATAGAATCATAGAATCAAAGAGTTGGAAGAGACCTCATGGGCCATCCAGTCCAACCCCCTGCCTAGAAGCAGGAATATTGCATTCGAATCACCCCTGACAGATGGCCATCCAGCCCCTGTTTAAAAGCTTCCAAAGAAGGAGCCTCCACCACACTCTGGGGCAGAGAGTTCCACTGCTGAACGGCTCTCACAGTCAGGAAGTTCTTCCTCATGTTCAGATGGAATCTCCTCTCTTGTAGTTTGAGTCCTAGTCTCCAAGGAAGCAGAAAACAAGCTTGCTCCCTCCTCCCTGTGGCTTCCTCTCACATATTTATACATATGTATTTGCTCATATTGATGTCAATGACCATTGTCAATGGAAGTGGGAATAATAATCATGTTGGTTCCTTCTGAATTTTATACCCTACAACTGTCCCGATTCGCCAGGGACAGACCTGATTAATCCTCTGTTGTTCCAGTTTAGGTGCCATTCATACTTAAATTAGGCAATATTAGCCATTTTGAGGGTCTGTTTTGCCCATTTGATGCCTTCCGACAATTGTTGAGTGCCTCTTTAGAGTTGTTCAAGGGCTGTTTTGCCCTTTTGGTGTCTTTTAAAGGTTGTCCATGTCCTGTTCAGAGTTTGTGAGGGTGCGTCTTGCCCTTTTGTTGTTGTTGTTCATTCGTTCAGTCGTCTCCGACTCTTCGTGACCTCATGGACCGGCCCAAGCCAGAGCTCCTTGTCGCCTGTCACCACCCCCAGTTCCTTCAAGGTCAGTCCAGTCACTTCAAGGATGCCGTCCATCCATCTTGCCCTTGGTCGGCCCCTCTTCCTTTTGCCTTCCACTTTCCCTAGCATCATTGTCTTCTCTAGGCTTTGCTGTCTCCTCATGATGTGGCCAAAGGACTTCAACTTTGTCTCTAGTCTCCTTCCCTCCAGTGAGCAGCCGGGCTTTATTTCTTGGAGGATGGACTGGTTGGATCTTTTCGCAGTCCAAGGCACTATCAGCACTTTCCTCCAGCACCACAGTTCAGTCCTTCAACTTAGTGCCTTCCAAATTTATCAGCCCATCCCCATCCTACATGGCTCTCTTTGGATCTTGTCTCAGCCTTTGGGTTGCTTTCCAAACTTTTCAGGGTCAGGTACGGGTTGTTTTCAATGTGTAGTGTGGCTGTAGGAATGAGGGTTCAAAGCGTGTCAAAGCAGAAGATGGTCCTTATTATTGGAATGAGTGTTTTGAGTATGTTCTCATGCGCCATCCATTCAGAAGGGTCTTTGGCAGCCTTTGTAAACATCACTGGTGTTCTTGTTGGAAGCAGTGCATAGTGGTGCTTGGGTGGGATTGGTGGCCAGAGGGCTAGATAAGGCGAATGATTGTGTGGTGGTGTGGTGGACTGAAATCTAGCTATAGACTGAGAGGAGGCCTCCTTGGGAGGAAAGGCAGCCCCCTTGCATGTGGGCCTGCAGCGTCTCTGCACCTGCTCTCAGCAGAAAACCCGGCTACCTTCCTGCATGAACCCAGAGCCAGGACCGCTCTCTCTCATCCAGGTGAAGAAGACGTCAAAGGTAGGCACGCTCCTGTTCCAACTCATGTTTGGGCAGGTCTTTTATTCCTTTGCTTGCATTGTGGTCACTGTTGTTGCTTTCCGAGCCTTTCAAATGTGAGGCAGGTTCTATCGACTGTATAGCATGGCTGTAAGGATGACGTCTCAGGACTTCTGTAAGGAGAAGGCGGACGTTGTATTTCAACTTGCAAGGATATTGTGATGCATGAAGAACATTATTTGGAGGCCTGTGTGAACTTCTGAGATTTTCTTAGAAACGGTGCATCATGGTGATGCTTGGATTGGATGCGTGGGCGACCAGAGTGGTAGCTAGTTGAGGTGAAAGTTGTTCAGGGCCCGTTTAGCCTTGTTCAGGACCTGTTTGGACCATTTGATGCCTTTTAAATGTTGATCAGGGGCAGTTCAGGGCCTGTTTTGCCCATTTGGTGCCTTTTAAAATTGGGACTTGCTTGGCCCATTAGATGCCTTTTAGAGGTTTCATTTTGTGCTCCTCCTGTCACCTTAAATATCATAATTATTATGGCCAATGTGCCAGCAACAATGTTGTTGCTATTATTATTATTATTATTATTATTATTATTATTATTATTATTATTATTATTACCAATGTGCCAACATCATCATCATCATCATCATCATTACTATTACTATTACTGCTATTATGGCAAATCATCATCATCATCACCACCATTATTATTATTATTATTATTATTATTATTATTATGGCCAATGTGCCAAAATCATAATGATAATCATCATCATCATTATTATTTTATTATGGTCAATGTGCCAAAAGGACTACTACTATTATTATCATTATAATTACTACTATGGCCAATGTGCCAGCAATATTATTATTATTATGGCTAATATGCCAAAATCATCATCATCATCATCATCATCATCATCATCATCATCATCATCACGGCCAATGTGCCAACATGATTATAATTATAATTATAATTATTATCATTACTATTATGGCGGATGTTCCAAAATAATTTATTATTATTATTATTATTATTATTATTATTATTATTATTATTATTACGAGCAATGTGCCACAGACATTATTATTATTACTATTATTATTATGGCCCCGGTGGCACAGTGGGTTAAACCACTTGGCTGCTGAACTTGCTGACTTAAAGGTCTCTAGTTCGAATCCGGGGAGTGGGGTGAGCTCCCACTGTTAGCCCCAGCTTCTGCCAACCTAGCAGTTCAAAAACATGCCAATGTGAGTAGATGAATAGGTACCGCTCCGGCGGGAAGGTAAGGGCGTTCCATGTGGTCATGCCGGCCACATGACCTTGGAGGTGTCTACGGACAACACTGCACTTTGCCTTTTAAATGGAGATGAGCACCAACCCCCAGAGCCAGACACGACTGGACAACCCCCAGAGCCAGACACGACTCCCCTAATTTCAGGGGAGAACCTTAACCTTTATTATGGCAAATGTGTGAACATCATCATCATCATCATCATCATCATCATCATCATTATTATTGTGGCAATGTGCCAATGTCATTATAATTACGATTATTGTTCTTATTATTAATATGGCAAACATGCCAACATGATTTTAAGTTTCATTATTATTATGTCCAAAGTGCCATCAAAATTATTATTATTTTCAGTATTACCAATGTGCTAAAACCATTATTATTATTATTACTATTACTATTACTATATTACTATTACTATTACTGCTATTATGGCAAATGTGCCAAAATCATCATTATTATTATTATTATTATTATTATTATTACTATTATTAGTATTACGGGCAATGTGCCAACGTCATCATCATCATTATTATTATTATTATTATTATTATTATTATTATTATTATTATGGCCCTGGTGGTGCAGTGGGTTAAACTGCTGTGCTGCTGAACTTGCTGACCAAAAGGTCTCTAGTTAGAATCCGGGGAGTGGGGTGAGCTCTCACTGTTAGCCCCAGCTTCTGCCAACCTAGCAGTTCGAAAACATGCCAATGTGAGTAGATGAATAGATACCGCTCCGGCGGGAAGGTATGGGCGTTCCATGCGGTCATGCCGACCACAGGACCTTGGAGGTATCTACGGACAGCACCGGCACTTTGGCTTAGAAATGGAGATGAGCACCAACCCTCAGTCAGACACTACTGGACTTAATGACAGGGGAAACCTTTACCTTTAGCTTTATTATGTCAAATGTGTGAACACCATTGTCATTATAATTAGTATTATTGTGACAATGTGCGAATGTCCTTATTATTATTACTATTATTCTTATTATTACTACTCTGGCAAATGTGCCAACATTATTTTAAGTGTAATTATTATGTCCAAAGTGCCATCAATATTATTATTATTTTTAGTATTGCCAATGTGCCAAAACCATTAATATTATTATTATTATTATTATTATTGCTATTATGGCAAATGTGCCAAAATCATTATTATTATAATTATTATTGTTAGTATTATGGCCAATGTGTCAACGTCATTATTATTATTATAGTGGTCCCGGTGGCGCAGTGGGTTAAACCACTGAGCTGCTGAAGTTGCTGATCGAAAGGTCGCTAGTTCGAATCCGGGGAGTGGGGTGAGCTCCCACTGTTAGCCCCAGCTTCTGCCAACCTAGCAGTTCGAAAACATGCAAATGTGAGTAGATCAATAGGTACCTCTCCGGCGGGAAGGTAACAGCGCTCCATGCAGTCATGCCGGCCACATGACCTTGGAGGTGTCTACGGACAACGCTGGCACTTCAGTTTGGAAATGGATATGAGCCCCACACCCGAGTCAGACAAGACTGGACTTCATGTCAGGGGACTACCTTTACCTTTACCTTATCATATCTATGGCCGGTGGCCCTCTGTTGGGAGGGATTAGATTGTGCCTGCCTGCCTGCAAGAAAGGGTTTAGAAGTCCCTTCCAACTCAATGGTATATCTATCATATCTCTCTGTAACTATAGATTGCCATTTCCCTCTATTCGAATTCAGTACCAAAAAGTCTCTTTGTATAATAACAGAACATTATTATTACTATTACAATAGCTTTCCTCCATGAATGCAATCCAGAGCCACAGATCTATCATAATTTCCCATCCCTTGCAGCCCTTTATTATTTTCCCCGTTTTCTATTGGTCGAGGCGCTTGTCCATCTCCGTTTCTTCCTCCCGCCCACTTCTCCTTCCAAGAGGCCTTTTCCCATTGGCCACTGGGCGTCGTGAGATCATTGCAGCCCTTTATTATTTTAGCCCTTTACTATTGGTCGAGGCGGTTGTCCATCTCTGTTCCGTCCTCCCGCCCACTTCACTTTGTCCTTTCACTGTGACACCTTCGCCCCGCCTTAGTCTCTTACTCTATTGGTTCAGCCTCCCGTCTGTTTACGGACGAACCAATAGCGATTCGTTGCCAACCAGGAAGTGTTCTCTTATTGGTCGCGGCGCCTTTGAGGGCACTCACCGGCCGGTTTCCAGCTCTTGCTTACATGGGCTCCAAAATGGCGGCTGTGAGGGCCTGAGAGTGGGCAGTGGGCGATTGAAGGGCGCCCATGGCCTTGTTTGAGGCCGCTGTGGGCCTTCAAGGGCCCAGTCTTTGCCGTGGGGCCCTGCCAGGCTTGGGCCTCCCTTTGGGCCGCCGGTGGCGCTCAGGGAATGGAGAGAATGATGGAAAAGGGGGCTTCAGTGCCTCCCCAAAGGGCTTGTATGAGATCCTGGGGGTGTCCCAGGCTGCCACTCAGGCCCAGATCAAGACGGCCTACTACAAGCAGTCTTTCCTCTACCACCCGGACCGTAACGCCGGCAGCGAGGAGGCTGCAAGGCATTTCACCCGAGTCAACGAGGCCTACCTAGTCCTGGGCAGCGTGAGCCTGCGCAAGAAGTACGACCGTGGCCTTCTCAGCCGGGAGGACCTCCGCGCTGCCAAAAAACCCTCCGGGAAAGAGGGCCCGACCTCTGCCCCGGTGCCCAAGCGCAGCCAGACCTTCGCGGCTGGCCAGACCCCCGCCAAGCCCATCTTCGACTTCGACAAGTTCTACCGGGCCCACTACGGGGAGCAGCTGGAGCGGGAGCAGTCCCTGCGGGAGCGGCGGAAGGAGCAGCAGAAGCGCAAGGAGGAGGCGGAGAAGAGGTGGCAGATGGAGAGCCTGCAGGAGATTGGGATGGCTGTCCTCTTCTTGGCCACTTTGACCCTCCTCTTGCACCTCAAGTGAGAACTGGAGGAGGAGGAGGGGGACCTTTATGAGTTGGGACTGGCCTTCCTCTTCACCACTGCCATGGTCCTCCTTTTGTACCTCAAGTGAGAAAGAAGGAGAGAGATCAGCGGCAATAGATATGGGGAATCTGCATGAGTTGGGACTGGTCTTTCCTCTTCGTGGCTGCCATGGCCCTCCTCTTGCACCTTAAGTGAGAAACAAAGGAAGGAAAGAGAGAAGAAGAGATGGGAAATCTGCATGATTTGGGGCTTCTCGGCCTTTTGGCTAAGATCAAGCCTGCAGCATGAGTTGGGGCTGGGCGACCTCTTTGTGGCCGCTGTGGCCCTCCTCTTGCACCTCAAGTGAGAACTGGAGGAGGAAGAAGACCAGCAGCAGCAGAGATGGGGAATCTGCATGACTTGGGAATCACTGTCCTTCCTGCGGGAGCAGTGGAGGGAGCAGCAGAGGCACAAGGAGGAGGCGGAGAAGAGGTGGCAGGTGGAGTGCTTGCAGGAGCTGGGGATGGCTGTCCTCTTCATGTTCGCTGTGGCCCTCTTCTTGCACCTCGAGTGAGAACCGGAGGAGGAGACTGACCACCACCAGCCGAGATGGGGAACCTGCTTGAGTTGGGGCTGGCCTTCCTCTTCATCGCTGCCATGGTTCTCTTGTACCTCAAGTTAGAGATGGAAGAGGAGGCTTGGTCAGATGCCTCCCTCTTGCCCCTATTGAAACTGGAGAAGTAGTGGAACTGAGAAGATTTGCACAAGTTGGGCTGGACTTCCTCTTCTTCTTTTCTTTTAAACATCAAGTGAGAAATCGAGGTGGAGAAGACAAACCAGCAGCGACAAAGAGAGATCTTCCTTTATCCACTCAAAGGTTGCTCTGGAGAAACACTTCAATATTGCCATGGCTCTCATCTAGGAGTGTAAGAGAAGGCAGCTTGGCCAGATGCCTCCCTCCTGACATAGAGACTGTGGCAGAGAGGTCACCAACAGCACAGAGAAAACTTGTACAAGTTGGGTCTGGCCTTCCTCTTTGTTGCTGTGATGCCCTCCTTCTTGAACCTCAATTGAGAGAGAACAGAAGGCAGCTTTGCTAGGTGCCTCCATCCTGTTCCTATAGAAAGTGGAGAAATACAGCTCAGTAACAGCACAGAGCGACAGTCCGTCTCTTACTCACATGTTTGGCGGGCCTGCATGAATTGAGTCTGGCCTTCTTCGTGCTGCCATGGCCCTAATCTTGAACCTCAAGCGAGAAGGAAGAGAAGCCCACTTTGCCACATATCCCCCTCTTGCCCAAATTGAAACCAGCAGCAACACAGAGAGAAATTTCTCACCAACAGTTTATTAGTGTGTCATTGGTTTTCTTTTTTTTTTCTGACCTTTGAGGATAACTTGAATGTCACATCTTCATGAATCAGGTTCTGCTTGGACTTTTAGAACTGTAATTCTTTGGACTTGGACAGATCCCTTTCAAAATCAACTCAAAACCCAATTGATCATCAAGCGGAGTATCAGAACATTTTGAGCCTTTAGAATCATTGCATCAGTCTTAAAGCTCAGACAAATCCCAGTGGTAACCAATTGGTTGTCAAACTAAGTATCAGATCGCCTTAGTAGCTTAATTAAGATTTTTTCTTGCATTTTCAACCATGCCAACATCTCAAAGAAAGACTGGAGGCATGGTCCCCATTGACCCTACAGGACTCTGTGTTTGGTAGCCCCTCAACGGAGTGCAGTTTGCAAATTCAGAAATATTTGGAGGATTTTTGGTAGCAGGCCACAGGTCTCAGGTCTCCAGATGTTGGTTCCAAAGAAAAATGAATGAACAGGAATTCACTTTGCCTTAATTCTCCCCAGTCGTGCCATCTGTTCACTTTCTTTCGGTGGCCCTCCAAATGATTTTGACCCACATCAACAAAGCAGGCAAGGAATGATGGGAACCGCAGTCCAAAATCACTTCAAGCGCTACCCCAACACAAAGAACAGACTTTTAGCGGCCTAGCAATGCTCTTGAAGGACTGCCCCTCCTCGGAATAATTTTGGATAAACTGATGCTGATTTTAGAGTCTGGTGTGATTCTGTAATCAATATGTGCACACGGGATTTAAACAAATAATGTATATGAGCTATATTTTAATTTATAAAGACACAAGAAAGGAGGTTAGAACGGTCTCCTGGTGGTTCTTGGATGCTGCAGATGGTTTTGGGTTGACATCATTCAATCAAAGATGGGGATGCTTTTTCTAGACATAATTCAGATCACATTTTTTTGGTTCTCATCTGTCTTGGCTCTTTTTACACCACATAATTGCAGGGTTTCATCTCACCTTGGCTTCAAAGAATCCTAGAATTGTGTTGTCGAAGGCTTTCATGGCCGGAATCACTGGGTTTCTAGGCTGTATGGCCATGCTCCGGAAGCATTCTTTCCTGACGTTTCGCCCACATCTATGGCAGGCATTCTCAGAGGTGGTGAGGTCAATTGGAAACTAGGCAAGTGAGGTTTGTATATCTGTGGAATAATGTCCAGGGTGGGAGAAAGAACTCTTGTCTGTTGGAGAACAGTGTGAATATTGTAATTGGCCGGCTTGATTAGCATTGAATGGCCTTGAAGTTTCAAAGCCCCTGGGCGATATCCTTGCAGACGGCCAATTCTCTCACACCAGAAGTGACTTGCAGTTAATCAAGTCGCTCTTGACACTGCAAAAAAAAAAAAAAAAAAAAAAAGCTTCAAAGCCTGGCTGCTTACTGCATGGGGGAATCCTTTGTTGGGAGATGTTACTGGCCCTGATTGTTTCCTGTCTGGAATTTTCGTTTTCTGAGTTTAATCTTTATTTACTATGATTCTGGAGATCAGGGTTTGAATCTTTGCTCTGCCATGGAAACTCACTGCATAATTTATAGGACACATCCCACTCTCTCAGATGAAGGGCAGACCCCTTCTGAACAAACCTTGCTATAAGTTGGAAGACATTGAAACCACATTATAGGGTCCTACAGTGACCATATAATCCAGATCCAGTCTCTGAGAGTGAGACATCAAGCGACCAAAGGGTGCATCTATATTGTAGAGCTGAGGCAATTGGACACTTTAACAGCCAATGGCAGAATCCTGGAAGTTTTAGTTTTATAAGGTCTTTCTTTTCTTTGACCTCATCAAATTGCAACTCCCAGGACTTCATAGCATTGAGCCATGGCAGTTGAAGTGCGGTCAAACTGTGTTAATTCTAAAAATAGGAAGAAATTTTATTATATAACTGTTTTTGACTAATGTAATAATAATAATAATAATAATAATAATAATAGTGCAAAGACTGGTACAAACAGTAAAGGTGGTCTCAGCGGTTTTTTTTTTTTTGTCATGTCAGGAGAGATTTGAGAAACTTCAAGTCACTTCTGGTGTGAGAGAATTGGCCATCTGCAAGGACGTCACCCAGGGGATGCCTGGATGATTTGACGTTTTTATCATCCTTGTGGGAGGCTTCTCTCATGTCCCCGCATGAGGAGCTGGAGCTGGTAGAGGGAGCTCATCCGCCTCTCCCAGGTTTCGAACCTGCGACCTGTCGGTCTTCAGTCCTGCCGGCACAGGGGTTTAACCCACTGCGCCACCGGGGGCTCCGGTCTCAGTGGTGACTGGCACACTGGATACCGTACCTAAAGACCTTGGCCTGCACTTAAAAACAATTGGTGCTGACAAAGTCACCAACTGTCAGCTGCAAAAGGCCACTCTACTCGGATTTGCATGCATTATTCGCCAATACACCACACAGTCCTA